AGCAAATGAATAGAGTGCAAGTCTAAAAGGGAAAAGTGTTTTTTTTTTTTTTTTAAGAATAGAATTAGAATAGAGAGTGCTAGAGTTAGAGGGTCAAATAAAGATGGAAGAGATGTGTTTTTAGCCGATTCTTGAAGATGGCTAAGGACTCAGCTGCTCGGATTGAGTTGGAAAAGTGTGGTTAAATGTGTTAAATGAGTTGGAAATGTGTTGAATCAAAGATATTTTTGTTGAATAAAGGTTTGATGTTTGTATAACTGAGCTAATAGTTTTGATAAATATATTATATGTTTCAAGAAAATACAGTATGTTTTAACAATTGGAAAAAATTGCATTACATGAGAAAAAAGCAATAATAGAGTGACATGAGAGACTCAAGATATTCTTTACATAACGTACCCAGTGTAAAGGCTTGAGCTGCTTGATTTGAGTTTCAAGGGTTTATTAATCAAATGCACATCAAGCAGCATGTAACAATAATCATTGGCAATTGAATATACTTTCCACAGGAGTCCTAGAGAAAACAAACTAAGGTAACAAAAGGTTATTAATGGAATGTTTGCAAAACATCAGCAAATAAAAACCCTCATTCTGACACACTCTGATTTATAGTTTTGGAAAACAAGTATCTTGTTTTAATTTTTTGATAGTTCTGTCCTTCTGCTCAGGTTCAGTGCAGTCCCTTGATTTGGACACCAGGTGGGAGATAATGTCAGGATCCTCCTTTTACTTATGTCAAATCTTGTTTATGATTTTCAGTGTCAGGATTCTGGCATCCATGTTGTGGCTTGTGTTTGTTCTTGATCTAGACCAGATATCAGGATCCTGCCAGTTCGGTCTGGTTTGGGTTCTCTGTGTCAGAATCCTATAGCTTCATGATATCTACCTTGTTGTGTTCTAGTTTTGCTCTACCATGGGCCATTTCCAGTTTTTGTTTCCAGTTCATTTGGCTGTAGTCTGGGCCCTGTTGTGTTTTTGCCTGAACAATTTCAGTTTTATTTTTTCCCTTTTATTAATAAAGAGTTTGAGTTCAGACAGCCTGTGCTTGGATTGTGTTATCAATCAGCACAGTGTGCATAAAATTAATGTTCAGATTCCATTACTTAGTTGTCATTTGGTTTTTGACTAGATGTATTGATGCAGTCTACAACTGCAATAAGTGATGTCGATGTAGCTAGACCTGACCTTCTGATGACACCTGAGTTTATGTCCACGATATCTGGTAACCCACAATGAATAATGAGCTGAAATACATTCCCTGACCCTGTAGGACTTCACACTACTAGGCAGGAGTTAATCCGATAACAGGCTATTATGCAATTAGTTGGCTATTGTCAATAGCGTGACTGGCCAAGACATTTAACGTCATGTAGCTATATTTAATATTTGAAAAAGGAGGCTCTAAAACCACAGGTGTATGTAGGTGTGTGTTTCATCTCTGAAGTGTCCTTTAATCCATGATTATCTCCATAGTTTCACTATTGTTCAGTCAGAGGTT